TGGAGCTGGGAGTGGTGCTGGTCTCGGAGGTGCTCGTACTGGAGGTCCTGGAGCTACTGGGACTGGAGGTGCTGCTGAGCCTGCGGGTACTCCTGGTGGAGACCCTGGGTCTGGGGGTGCTGCTGCTGGAGACAATGAGGTTGGTGACTCTGGGACTGGAGGTGCTGGTTCTGGGGGTGCTTCTGCTGAGGGTGCTGGAGCTGCTGAGGGTACTAGAGCTGCTGAGGGTGCTGGAGCTACTGAGGGTGCTGGAGCTGCTGAGGGTGCTGGAGCTGCTGGAGGTACTGGAGCTGCTGGGGGTGCTGGAGCTGCTGAGGGTGTTGGAGCCGCTGGTGCTGGTGGCGCTACGCAGCCATGCCTGTTCTTCGCTCCGCCTTCTCCGTCGTCTCTACCACCGCCTGCCTCCGTGCTTCGCCACGTTCTTAGCCTCCCGTCGTCTACTGGTCTTCCGTTACAGCCTGGCTCACCCCTGCCTGCTCTTTCTCCTTACACTGAGCAGTCAGGAGGTCTTGCTGAGCGCCGTGAGCCTGCGTCGCGTCCTGTCTCGCCTGTCCGATCTGGTCGTCGTGTTCCTCGTCAGCGTCAGTGGGCTGTTCCAGGCACCCACCTTGTAGTCCGTCATCTTTCCTCTTCTTCGCCTTGTGTTCCTTTGCCGTCCCCTCCTGAGTCCTCTCTGCATGTCGCTGCTGACCCTGAGTCTGACCAGTTTCGTACTGAGCACCCTACGGTCACACGTCTGTTAGCTACTGCTGTCACTGACCCGTCGTTTGAGTCCACTGCTGCGTCTGCCCTAGTAGCTGAGCTTGTCGACTTTGCTGCTGCCTGTCGTCTAGACTACGCCGCTAGTCTTGTTGCTGAGTATGAGTCTGTCTGTCCTCCGTCCGTCGGGGGTGAGTGTGCTCTCGGCACGGACGTCCTTGAGGACAGGCAGGAGGACCTTGAGTGTCTTGCAGCCGCTGCGCCTCATCTCGTGTCCATGCTGCTTGCCCCTGAGGGAGACCCGGATGCTCCAGACATCCCGACCCTGCGCTTTTACGCTGAGGCGATCGCGGGTGAGTACTCCTCTCAGTGGCAGACAGCCATGGACGCAAAGATGGCATCCTGGAAGTCCACAGGCACCTACGTCGACGAAGTTCCCCCTCCTGGGGCGAACATCGTCAGTGGCATGTGGATTTTCAGGGTGAAGCGGCCGCCACGTTCTCCGCCTGTCTTCAAGGCTCGTTACGTTGCTCGAGGTTTCAGTCAGCGAGAGGGAGTTGACTTCTTCCAGACCTTCTCCCCCACCCCGAAGATGACCACTCTTCGGGTGCTGCTGCACGTTGCTGCTCAGCGCGACTACGAGCTTCATTCTCTTGACTTCAGCACTGCTTTCTTACAAGGCAGCCTGCACTAGGAGATCTGGCTGCGCCGCCCTGTTGGCTTCACTGGGTCGTTCCCTCCTGGTACCCACTGGAGCCTCCGGCGGCCAGTCTACGGTCTCCGTCAGGCGACGCATGAGTGGCACGACACACTGAGGACGACACTTGCGGCTCTTGGGTTTGCTCCGTGGACTGCTGACCCGTCACTGTTTCTGCGCACCGACACTTCGCTGCCGCCGTTCTACATCCTCATGTACGTTGACGACTTGGTCTTTGCCACTGCTGACACCGAGGCTCTCGCCCTGGTGAAGTCGGAGCTGCAGAAGAGACACACGTGCACAGACCTGGGTGAGCTGCGCAGCTACCTTGGCTTGCATATCACCCGGGACAGAGCACGCCGCACCATCACACTGACTCAGTCACACATGGTGCAGCGGGTCCTTCAGCGCTTCGGCTTCACTTGGTCCTCAGCACAGGCCACTCCTCTGGCTATAGGTCACTCGCTCTCAGCTCCACCTTCGGACGAGTCCGTAGAGCCGAGTGGTCCTTACCCAAAGATAGTTGGCTGCCTCATGTACCTGATGACCTGCACTCGTCCTGACCTTACGTACCCTCTTGGCCTTCTGGCTCGCTACGTGGCTCCTGGTCGACACCGAAAGGTGCACATGGATGCTGCGAAGAGGGTACTGCGCTACTTGTGCAGTACATTAGGCATGGGGCTCGTGCTTGGAGGGCGGGGCGACGTTGTCCTCACTGATCACTCGGACGCTTCTCGGGTTGACTGTCAAACTTATATGGTATAGTCTGTGTAGGCTGTAGTGGGGTGGACAATATGGGGTACAACACTTTTAGGTTTTCCTACTTGTACCCACCTGTTTCCTAGTGCATTCATTCCTCATTCTTTCACATGGTATAGAGCAGGTTCCCTAGTGGGAACGTTTCCTAGGGCCCACCGAAAATTGTTTTTTTTTTTCCTGCCCGGAGCGCGCTTCGCCCCTGCCCGAGTCGCGCCCCGTGTGCCTGCCCTCCCGTCGCGTCCCCTGCCCTTAGCGGCCCGTCGCGCCCTCTTACGGCCCCTGGCCGCCCCTTAGCCGCTCCCTCGTGGCCCCTCTCACGGCCCCTCGCGGCCCCTTCGCGGCTCCCTCGCGGCCCCTCCCACGGCCCCTCGCAGCCCCGTCGCGGCTCCCTTGCGGCCCCTCGCGGCCCCTCGCGACCCCTCTCACGGCCCCTCGCGGCCCCTTCGCGGCCCCTCGCGGCCCCTCGCGGCCCCTCACGGCCCCTCTCACGGCCCCTCGCGGCCCCGCGGCCCCTTCTCAGCCGCTGCCGCCCCTCTCACGGCTCCCTCGCGGCCCTTCGTGGCCCCTCGCGGCCCCTCGCGGCCCCTCTCGCGGCCCCTCACGGCCCCTTCGCGGCTCCTCGCGGCCCCTCGCGGCCCCTCGCCGCCCCTCTCACGGCCCCTCGCGGCCCCGCGGCCCCTTCTCAGCCGCCGTCGCCCCTGCCCCGCCCGCAGCAGCCGCCGCCGCCGCTGCCGTGTCCGCCGCCACCGCCCCTGCCCCGGCCGCAGCAGCCGCCGCCACCACTGACAGCAGCAGCCGCCGCCGCCGACAGCAGCAGCCGCCACCGCCGCCGCCGACACCAGCAGCCGCCGCCGCCGCCGCTGCCGTGTCAGCCGCCGCCGCCCTTGCCCGCCGCGGCCCCCTGGCCCCTGGAGCAGCCCCCGCTGCTGCAGCTGCCCCTGGCCCCTGGAGTAGCTGCCCCTGCAGCAGCCGCCCCTGGCCTCTCGAGTAGCAGTCCCTGCAGCAGCCGCGGAGCCCTCGCCCTGCGGTGGTAGCGGCCTCACCATTGCCGCTGTCGTACTCCTGCCCTTCTTGCCACTGGTGAGCTCTGCTGTTACTGCTGTTACTGCTGCTCTTGCTACTACTACTCTTTCTACTGCTACTGCTGCTCCTGGCGTGGCCAGATGCAGCTCCAGCGCCGTCCGCGTGAGACCCTCGCCCCCCATCAGCTTCGTGAGTGGTACGCTAGTTGGGGTTGTAGGGGTGGCCGCACTGCTACTGCTGCCACTGCGGCTACCACTGCTCCTGCTGCCCCAGGCGGTGGCCAGATGCAGCTCCAGCGACGTCCGCGTGAGTCCCTCACGCCCGAGCAGCTTCGTGAGTTGTACGCTACTTGGGGTTGTCGGGGTGGCCATAGTGAGAGTCGTTCTGGCGTGAGTAGTTCGGGAGCTGCTTGTAATGGCCAGGTGCAGCTGCAGCGTAGTCCGCGCGCGGTCCTTTCGCCCCAGCAGCTTCGTGAGTGGTACGCTCAGCGTATAAGGTCACGGAGTACTGCTCGCTGTCCGTACGTCATTCGCACTGGTGCTCGGCCTGGTCAGCCTTGCGGGACGTTTGGTCACGCAGAGTCCCGCTGCTTCGCCCGTCTGAGCGACGCCTGGCGTACGGAGTTTGGCGACGCCGCTGAGCTCCCCGACTGGGTGGAGTTGCTTAGGCAGAGGGTAGATATCTATGCTCTTGACTATGATGCTATCCTCACTTCCATGTATGCATTGCCTACTAGTGATGTGGGTAACTGTTACCTGTGTGTTCCGCCTGACCCGGGCATTGAGGCTGCTGCTCTAGGTGCCGGTGAGGCTGCTGCTCTAGGTGCTACTGCGTCTACTCCTCCAGGTGCTGGTGAGTCTGCTGCCCCAAGTGCTGGTGAGTCTGCTGCCCCAAGTGCTTGTGAGTCTGCTCTCTCAGGTACCACGTCGGCTCAGGTTTTACACACCTTCACCCTTGACTCGGGTGCTTCCCGCTCCTTCTTTCGAGACCGCACCACACTCACGCCGCTCAGTCGCCCGGTTGCAGTCTCCCTGGCAGACCCCTCTTGGGGTCCTGTCCTTGCCCACTTCTCCACTGTCTTACCGTGTCCGGCGGCCCCTTCTGGCTCCCTGTCAGGTCTTTACCTCCCCTCGTTCTCTACGAACTTGGTGAGTGGTTCTGACCTACAAGATGGAGGGGTTGACCAGTTCACTCCTGCGCGTCAGCGAGTGACCCACTGTACGTGTGCTCAGATGGGCCGACACTTGGCCACGTTTACCCGTCAGCCGGGGTCGAGCCTGTACACACTGACTACTGAGTCTCCTCAAGTAGCTGAGTCAAGTCAGGTGTTTGCTGCAGCGTCCTGGTCTGGTCCTGAGTCTGCCCCCTGCTCGTGTCGTCTCCTGTCCCACCAGACTCTCCTCTGGCACCACCGCCTTGGTCACCCCTCCCTGCCTCGTCTTCAAGGCATGGCCTCTCGTTTCCTTGTCTCGGGTCTCCCCCGGTCCCTCCCTTCTCTTCCTCCGGGGCCTGCCCCCACCTGCGTTCCCTGCATCGAGGGGCGGCAGCGTGCCGCCCCTCACTCCTCCGAGTTTCCTCCGACAGAGGATCCGCTGCAGACGCTTCACATGGACGTGTGGGGCCCAGCCCGCGTCCGTGGACAGGGTCACGAGCGTTACTTCCTGCTGGTGGTTGACGACTACTTGCGTTACACCACAGTCTTCCCCTTGCGCAGCAAGGGTGAGGTCACTGAGGTGTTGATCGACTGGATCCGAGCAGCTCGTCTCCAGCTCAGAGAGAGTTTCGGCTCGGACTTTCCTGTCCTGCGTCTGCACTCATTGGCATGGTCATGGACGTCGCTTGTACGTCCATGATCCATGCGGCTGCCCCCATTTTCTGTGGCCGTTTGCGGTTCAGTACGCAGAGCATTAGCTCAAACTTCAGCCCCGGGTCTCCTTGCCGGAGACCTCCCCTACTCTGCGGTGGACGGGGAAGGTTGGCAATGCGTCTGCGTTTCGTGTCTGGGGATCTCGGGCTTTTGTCCGCGACTTGTCTGCGGACAAGCTGTCCCCCCGTGCTGTTCCCTGCGTCTTCCTTGGCTTCCCCCCTGACGCGCCTGGTCGGCAGTTTTACCACCCCACCTCGCGCCGTGTTCTGTCTTCCCAGGATGTCACGTTTGACGAGTCGGCCCCCTTCTACCGTCTCTTCCCCTACCGCACTGCCCCGCTCCCGCCTCCGCCGCTCTTCCTCACGCCAGGTGCTGCCTTGGTAGACCCCTTGCCTCCCCAGGTTCCTGCTCCCTCAGGTGTTTCCCAGGTAGACCCGGTCGAGCCAGTCGAGGTAGCTGTCGACTCTGATCCTGCGCGAGGTACTGAGCGTGCTGAGCTTGGTGGTGCTGGGTCTGGAGGTACTAAGCCTGGGGGTGCTGGGCCTGGGGGTGCGGAGACTGGGGGTGCTGAGCCTGGGGGTGCGGAGACTGCGGGTGCTGAGCCTGGGGGTGCAGAGACTGCAGGTGCTGAGCCTGGTGGTGCTGTCCTTGGTGGTGCTGGGTCTGGAGGTCCTGAGCCTGGGGGTGCTGCGCCTAGGGGCGCTCTCTCTTCCCAGCAGCTGCGTGAGTGGTACTCTCGGTACTGTCGCAGCCTCCGTGGTGCTGCTGGATCTAGAGCTGAGAGCGCTGAGCCTACTGGAGTTGGTGTTGCTGCTGGCCCTGGGGTCGGCACTGGAGGTGTTGGAGCCTCTGGTCCTGGAGGTGCTCGTACTGGCGGTACTGGAGCTGCTGGGACTGGGGGTGCTGCTGGAGCTGTTGGCGCTGGTCCTACTGGAGGTGCTGCTAGTGCTGCTGTAGGTACTAGAGCTGCTGGTGCTGCTGGGGGTACTTGAGCTGCTGGGCCTGGAGGTGCTCCTGGTGCTGGAGCTGCACGCGGTGCTAGAGCTGGCGGTCCTGCTGGAGTAGGTGCTGCTGGAGCTGCTGGAGCTGGAGCTGCTGGGGGTGTTGGAGCTGGAGGTGCTGCTGGCGGTGGTGCTGCTGCTGGGGGTACTGGTGCTGTCCCTGCTGTTTCTGGAGGCGCTGCGCGGCCGCGGCCGTACTTCGTTCCGCTCCTTGAGCAGGTTCTTGGTCTTCCGCCTTCTACTTGTCCTGCTCCTCCCTTAGAGTGTCCACAGCCTGACCAGTCGCAGTCACAGTTACAGCCCGCCTCCCCACTGCCTACTCCTTCTCCCTACACTGGTCCTACTGGAGGTCTTGCTGAGCGTCGTGCACCTGCGTCTCGTCCTGCGTCGCCTGTTCGTGCTGCTCGCACTAGTCGTCGTGTTCCGCATCAGCGTCCTCCTGCGCTCCCGGGCACGCACCAGATGGCACTGCGTCCTTCCACTGCTCCGCAGCAAGTCCCTTTGCCGTCTCCTCCGGAGTCCTCTCTTCCTGCTCTTGCTGACCCGGAGTCGGACTCTCTTCGTGCTGCCAATCCTACTGTCACGCGTCTCCTGGCTACTTTTGTCACTGACCCTTCCTTGAGTCCACTGCTGCGTCTGCCTTAGTTGCTGAGTTGGTCGACTTCGCTGCTCACTGTCGTCTAGACTACTCTGCTAGTCTTGTTGCTGAGTCTGAGTCTGTCTGTCCTCCGTCCGTCGGGGGTGAGTGTGCCCTTGGCACGGACGTCCTTGAGGACAGGCAGGAGGAGTTCCAGTGTTTGGCTGCTGCTTCACCTCATCTCGTGTCCGTACTACTTACCCCTGAGGGAGACCCGGATGCACTTGACATCCCGACTCCGCGCTCTTACGCGGAGGCGATAGAGGGTCCCTACTCCTCTCAGTGGCAGGCAGCTATGGACACAGAGATGGCTTCCTGGAAGTCCACATGCACCTACGTTGACGAGGTTCCCCCGCCTGGGGCGAACATCGTCAGTGGCATGTGGATTTTCAGGGTGAAGCGGCTGCCGGGTTCTCTGCCTGTCTTCAAGGCGCGTTACGTGGCTCGAGGCTTCAGTCAGCGGCAGGGAGTTGACTACTTTCATACCTTCTCTCCCACCCCGAAGATGACCAATCTTCGGGTGCTGCTGCACATAGCCGCTCAGCGCGACTACGAGCTTCACTCTCTTGACTTCAGCACAGCTTTCTTGCAGGGCAGCCTGCACAAGGAGATCTGGCTGCGCCGCCCACCTGGCTTCACTGGGTCGTTTCCTCCTGGTACCCAATGGAGCCTCCGGCGGCCAGTCTACGGTCTCCGCGAGGCGCCCCGTGAGTGGCACGACACACTGAGGACTACACTTGCGGCTCTTGGGTTTGCTCCTTCTACTGCCGACCCGTCGCTGTTTCTGCGCACCGACACCTCTTTGCCGCCGTTCTACATCCTCGTGTACGTCGACGACTTGGTCTTTGCCACTGCTGACACTGCTGAACTCGCCCACGTGAAGTCCGAGCTGTAGAAGAGACACACATGCACAGACCTGTGTGAACTGCGCAGCTACCTTGGCTTGCAGATCACCCAGGACAGAGCACAGTGCACCATTACACTGACTCAGTCACACATGGTGCAGCAGGTCCTTCAGCGCTTCGACTTCACGTACTCCTCGCCTCAGGCCACTCCTCTGTCTACTCGCCACTCGCTCTCAGCTTTGCCTTTGGATGAGTCCGTAGAGCCGAGTGGCCCGTACCCAGAGCTTGTTGGCTGCCTCATGTACCTGATGACCTACACACGACCTGACCTTGCATACCCTCTTAGCATCTTGGCACGCTATGTTGCTCCTGAGAGACACCGACCAGAGCACATGGCTGCAGCGAAGAGGGTGTTGCGCTACTTGTGCAGTACGTTGGGCATGGGGCTAGTGCTTGGAGGGCGGCGTTCAGTGGTCCTCACAGGTCACGCAGACGCTTCTTGGGCTGATGACCAGGCCACGCAGCGGTCGTCACAGGGTTACACCTTCAGCCTTGGTTCCGGCTCTGTTTCGTGGTGGTCTACCCGCTCGTCTTCTGTTCTCGGCTCCAGCTGTGAGGCTGAGATCTACGCGGGGGCCATGGCTGCACAGGAGCTACGCTGGCTCACCTACCTGCTGACTGACCTAGGAGAGCCGCCTCGTTCTCCTCCAGTTCTTTACGTAGACAACAAGGCCATGCTGGCCTTGTGTCGGGAGCACAGACTGGAGCACAGAACGAAGCACATTGCTCTTCGCTACTTCCTTGCTCGTGAGCTGCAGCAGCGTGGTCAGCTGCGCCTTACTTACGTGGCCTCTGAGGCCAACACTGCTGATATCTTTACCGAGGCACTTCCGCCTTGTGATCATCAGCGCTGTTGTACGATGCTAGGTCTTGTGCCTACTTGGCCTCACTTGCTGACTTCTTGACCTTGCTTGTACTGTGATCTTTCTATACCTGCTCTTGCTTGTTTACCTTTATATATGATCTTTCATGTGAACTGGCCTTGTGGCCTTGAACTTGTGCTCGGAATGTGTGGTGACGTTGTGATCCACCCTGAGCTTGCTTTGTTTTGCTTGCTTGGTCTTGTGACCTCTTGTTCTCACCCACTTTGCCTATGGGGGTGTGTCAAACTTATATGCTATAGTCTGTGTAGGCTGTAGTGGGGTAGACAATATGGGGTACAACACTTTTAGGTTTTCCTACTTGTACCCACCTGTTTCCTAGTGCATTCATTCCTCATTCTTTCACATTGACGACCAGGCTACGCAGCGGTCGTCACAGGGTTACACCTTCAGCCTTGGCTCTGGCTCTGTTTCTTGGCGTTCTACACGCTCGTCTTCCGTTCTCGGCTCTAGTTGTGAGGCTGAGATCTACGCTACAGCCATGGCTGCACAAGAGTTATGCTGGCTCACCTACCTGCTGACCGACCTGGGAGAGCGGCCTCGTTCTCCTCCAGTGCTGTACGTCAACAACAAGGCCGCCATTGCCATGTGTCAGGAGCAGAGACTGGAGCACAGTGTCAGAATCAAGAAGTGTGAACTAGAAAGATGTTGGAGTACAAGTAGGAAACCCTAGAGAAGTGTACCCCCTAAAGGCTAACCCACTGTAGCCTATACAACAAAAACATATATAATGTTTGACACACCCCCATAGGCTAAGTGGGGGAGAACAAGGGGTCACAGGACCAGTCAAGAAAGACAAAGCAAGCTTAGGGTGGATCACAACGTCATCACATACTCTGAGCACAAGCAAAGGACCACAAGGCCAGTTCACATCCAGAGGCATATATGTAGCACAAACATCACAGTGATCTATATCTAGCAAGCATGCAGGTACATATATATAGATCACAGTACAGACAAAGTCTACAACAAGTGAGGAAAAGTGGGCACAAGCCCTAGCAAAGTGCAGAAACGCTGATGATCACCAGACTGAAGTGCCTTGGTGAATATATCAGCAGTGTTGGCCTGAGTGGCCACGTAACACAGACAAAGCTAACCACGCTGCTCCAACTCTCGAGCCAGAAAGTAACGTAGAGCGATGTGCTTTGTCCTGTGCTCCAGTCTTTGCTCCTCACACAAGGCAATGGTTGCCTTGTTGTCGACGTACAGCACTGGAGGAGAACGAGGCCGCTCTCCCAGGTCGGTCAGCAGGTAGGTGCGCCAGCGTAACTTTTGTGCAGCGATGGCTGTGACGTAGATCTCAACCTCACAACTGGAGCTGAGAACTGAAGACGAACGTGTAGAACGCCACGAAACTGAGCCAGAGCCAAGGCTGAAGGTGTAACCCTGTGAAGACCGCTGAGTAGCCTGGTCGTCAACCCAAGAAGCCTCTGAGTGCCCAGTGAGAACAACTGAGCTCCCTCCTCCAAGCACGAGCCCCATGCCCGATGTACTGCACAAGTAGCGCAATACCCTCTTTGCAGCATCCCAGTGCACCTTTCGGTGCCTGCCAGGAGCCACATAGCGGGACAGAAGGCCAAGAGGGTATGCTAGGTCAGGACGAGTGCAAGTCATTAGGTACATGAGGCAACCAACTAGCTCTGGGTAAGGACCACTCGGCTCTACGGACTCATCCGAAGGCAGAGCTGAGAGCGAGTGACCTATAGCCAGAGGAGTGGCCTGTGCTGAGGACCAGGTGAAGCCGAAGCGCTGAAAGACCTCCTGCACCATGTATGACTGAGTCAGTGTGATGGTGCGGCGTGCTCTGTCCCGGGTGATCTGCAAGCCAAGGTAGCTGCGCAGTTCACCCAGGTCTGTGCACGTGTGTCTCTTCTGCAGCTTCGACTTCACGTGGGCGAGAGCCTCAGTGTCAGCAATGGCAAAGACCAAGTCGTCGACGTACACGAGGATGTAGAACGGCAGCAGCGTGGTCAGCTTCGTCTTACTTACGTGGCCACTCGGGCCAACACAACTGATATATTCACCAAGGCACTTCCGCTTGGTGATCATCAGCGCTTTTGTACCTTGTTGGGCCTTGTGCCTACGTTTCCTCACTTGCTGTAGGCTTTGCCTGTACTGTGATCTATATATATTCATGTATGCTTACACATGCTAGGTTGTGATCACTGTATTGCTTGTGCTCTGCATGTGAACTAGCCTTGTGGCCTCTTGCTTGTGCTCAGTGTGTGTGGTGACTTTGTGATCCACCATGAGCTGTGCTTTGTTTCTTCTCTTGACTGGTCTTGTGACCATTGCCTTTGCTCTGGCTATCCCCCATTTCGCCTATGGGGGTGTGTCAAACTTTATGTTTATTGTTAGTTAGGCTGTATTGGGGCTAGCTTTAGGGGGTGCAGAATTTCTCTCGACATTCTAGCCTTGTACCCCCATCTTGACCTAATCTACTCATTCTTGCCTGGTATTCTGAACACAATCCCCCCACCAAACCCCCGTCCCCCCAGCGTGCTCTGCTCTGTAGAGTAAATAGTGAAAACAAACGAAGGTTTCTGATGCATGCGACTCAGGGCAGGAATCAAAATGGCCTGAATTAAGATGATAATTTTTGAAAGTGTAATGAAATGTAACACTTTCTAAAATTTTGTATTGTGAAAAGGGGTACGTGGCCAACACAGCAAAGGTAGCGCCGAAGCGCTACTCACCCTCTTTTGCCTACAAAAGAGGGACGTGGGGACATTCGTCCCCACCCACGTTTTCATTTTCAAAATTGTAGTTCTAATTTCCCACCCGCCCACCCATTTGTGTATGCTGTTATGTAGACATATATAAGACGAGAACGATGTACTACAACCCATATGAAATGATAACGCTGCCTTTGCCAGTCAGCCTAAGTACACTTTCACAATGGGCTGGATTGAGCTGCTTTCCGGATGATTCAGGGCTTGTTTCGGCCCAGCTCAGCCTCATAAGGGTTGGGCCCGGACCAAGCGACAGCACTGCTCAAAACACCAATTTGCTGACTTAAAACCGGGCTTTAATTTGACCATTTTTGCTTCGAAGTGCACACCAAAAGACATAGGGTGACGTGATAGTGCACGACAATGTAAGCACTTGGCCCACCAGGTAATTATTTTTTCACACAATATGTAATCACACAAGGCAACAAAGTCTGGGTGAAGGTGGATCAAGTTGCGATGAATACGGTAGTGTTCCCGTTCAAAACTTGAAGTGCTTTTGTTTCTTCACTGCCTTGTCCTTGACCTGTGCTTGGGTGAAGGTGATAGTGACTGGTGAAGGAGGATGAATGGGTGGAGACGGTTGGAGAAGGGTACTCCTCGTTCAGAACTTGAGTCCTTACGCTTCTTGACTGCCTTGTCCTTGTCCTGAGCCTTGCGCTTGCGCTTCTTCTCCATCTGAACACCGTCTACGGTAGTATTGACGCGCCTAAAAAACAGTCTCCAGTAGTGCTCGTTTAGAACTTGAAGTCCTTTTGTTTCTTGACTGCCTTGTCCTTGTCCTGAGCCTTGCGCTTGCGCTTCTTCTCCATCTGAACAGCACACACACCAGACAAGCATAGATCGCAACAATAGAAAGTACAAAAAAAAAGTAACGATCCACTTCCAAGTAATTCGAGAAACTATATACGCACGAGCACCATCGATGTAGCAGTTCTCCGCTCGACTTCCCCCTTTTTCCCTCCGCTCACCTTCCCCCCATTTCCCTCCCCTCCCTTCTCTCCCCCCCCACCCCCCAAACTCACCTCCGCCACCATATCACTGAAGTCCTCCCTCTCCTCAGGCCGCTTCTCTGCATCCTTGGCCTCCTTGAACCTGCGGGGAGGAGCAGAACAGAGCAGAGCAGAGCAGAGCAGAGCAGAGCAGAGCAGAAAAGAGCAGAGCAGAGCAGAGCAGAAGGCAGGGTGAGAGCACATGAGAGAGGCAAAAAAACATGCATTTTTTCATCCAGTTCACTCGGCGTCCTCTCTTATCTGTTACTCTAACTCCTCCCTCTCCTCTGGCCGCTTCTCTGCATCCTTGGCCTGTTTGAACCTGCGGGAAAGAGCAGAGCAGAGCAGAGCAGATGAAATGACAGAGTGGGGAAAATCAAGGAGGCAGGAAAATCATGCATTTGTTTTGCTGTAACCCGGGACAACATATGAAGGGAAAGTGAGAGGTGGAAGGGGAATTGAGAGGTGGAAGGGGAAGCGAGAGGTGGAAGGGGAAGCGAGAGGAGGAAGGGGAAGTGAGAGGAGGAAGGGGAAGTGAGAGGAGGAAGGGGAAGTGAGAGGAGGAAGGGGAAGTGAGAGGAGGAAGGGGAAGTGAGAGGAGGAAGGGGAAGTGAGAGGAGGAAGGGGAAGTGAAGGAAGGGGAAGTGAGAGGAGGAAGGGGAAGTGAGAGGAGGAAGGGGAAGTGAGAGGAGGAAGGGGAAGTGAGAGGAGGAAGGGGAAGTGAGAGATGGCACAAAACTGGTTTTTCTTTGGAAGTTGGGACTCACTTGGCAGCAAGAGCAGCGTCGTCCAGCTCCTCAAGCTCCTCTGGTGCCAGTGTCACCTCCACGCGGTCACCCTTCTTCACATCCTGAGAGCACAGCACACACAGGAGGGAGTGGTGGATGGGTGGGCGGAGGAGAGGGGGGGGGAGGGGGGGAGGACGGGGGGAGGACGGGGGGAGGGGGGGGGGGGAGGACGGGGGGAGGGGGGGGGGAGGACGGGGGGAGGGGGGGGGAGGACGGGGGGAGGGGGGGGGAGGACGGGGGGAGGGGGGGGGAGGACGGGGGGAGGGGGGGGAGGACGGGGGGAGGATGGGGGCAGGACGGGGGGAGGAGGGGTGGAAGGGGGGAGGGGGGAGGTGGGGAGGAGGGGGAGGAGAGGGGAGGAGGGGGGAGGTGGGGGGAGGAGGGGGAGAGGAGGGGGGGGGGAGGGGGGGAGGACAAGGGGAGGACGGGGGAATGAATTGGGGAGGACGGGCAGAGGAGGGGGGGAGGACAGGGGGGAGGACGGGGGGAGGGCGCGGGTGGGTGGATGATTGGAACATGGAATACGAGTCGGGGTTAAGCAACTGTACTTCAAACCATATGCATGCAAGATGAGGACGAATTGCGGATAGTATGCAAGTGCAAGTGCATGGGCATGGGCAAGTTGTATCATGCATGATGCATGGGCCAGTGCAAGTGCGAGCATGTGGGGCTGGGCAACTGACCTTCTTGGGAGCGCCTGGTTTATCCACCGGAGGGACCACATAGCTGCAGTGGGGGGGCGGGTGGTAGAGAGGGAGTGGAAGGCAGATGAGCCGGCAGGCAGAACCGGCAGAACGACATTTCAGACTGGCAGGGATGGGCAAGGGGGAGCGTGGAGTATGGAGTATGGAGCATGCCGGTTCTGATGGGGCGAGGGGGAGCGTGGAGTGAAGCAGTGGCATGGCATGGAGCGAAGGAGCAAGTGGAAAGCAGAACGGCTGAGCGAGGAGCAGGAAGGGGGGGGTGGGAGCATTGAATGCGATGGACACTGGAATGAACAGGTTGTTTTTGACAAATATGTAACAAACAAACGCACAGAGTTTTCACTGGAGTAAAGAAGAACAAACTTCGCGTGGCATTATAAATGGAAACCCGAGGGAGCAAGGGAGCAAGGGGAGAAAGGGGAGCAAGGCAGCAAGGGGAGGGAGCACGCACGTGTGTGTTGTGCCCATGAGGGTAGTGGGGGCCACACGTTCCTCCTTCTCCTCCAACACCTGCCCATAGGACACACGGGAACCAGGACAACAGGACACCAGGACACTAGGTGAAAAGGAGATTCAGAATACTGTAATGCTGCTACAGATCTCTTCGACCCAGCTGGGTGTTTCAAATCGGACTCAGGCCTCATCTGATTGGGGTTCTTTTAACGGTCTATATCTGCAATGCAAAGCACTCACCGTGTAGAGGGGCTTCTCAGGGGCGTCCTTGCGCTGAGCCTTGCGCAGGTCGATGACGTCTGGCGTCTCCACTCCTGCTGGCGTGCTGCAGAGCAAGGAGGGAGGGATGGGGAAAATTGAAAAGGATTAGGACGGTTGGAAACCGTTGGTGTGTTTCCTGTTTGCTGCACTTGGCTTTGCGCTGCGCCTTGCACAGGTCGACGTCGTCTGGTGTCTCCATATCTGCTGGCGTGCAACACATGGGAGCAAAGGAGAGGGATTGGTGCATTTGAAAGGGGAGATGGAGGAGGCATGTGGATGGATGACATTTGAACCAGAAACGACTCGACTCAGAAGGCTTCTGTGGCAAGAAAACCTACTGGATGAATCTACCCTGGTCTGATTAAAGCCACAGAGAAAAAGGCTTACGTGGAGAGCGAGTCGATAGATGTGATGCCAGCCTGGAGCTCCTCCTCTCCCACTTCCTTCTCCTCTCCCCCCTCCTCCTCTTCCTCCTCCTCCTCCTCCTCCTCCTCCTCTTCCTCCTCCTCTTCCTCTTCCTCCAAATCTCCCCAGTGCTTTGACCGATCAATAGGCTCCTCCTGCAAAGGAACGAGGGGGCGAAGTTGTATTGAGAGTATCAAGGCATGTTAGAGGTCTCCTTGTTGGGAAAGAAGGGTATCGCAAACACGGTGATGAGCCGACATTTGTTGCAGTTACCAGTATCAGAAACTCCTGCCAAACCACTAAAGAGCATCAGATATAGGTTCCTAGTAAACATGTTCATGTGAGAGAGAGCGATAGAAAAAAGGGTAGTAGACACCCATTGACTAAGCAGATATTATACCTTTTTTGTTATAAAATCCACACATGCATGTACTTACCTCGAACTGGTCTTCCTCCGGTGCTGGTTGCGACCCAAACACGTCTCCATACAGCGGCCGCCCGTACTGCCACACACGAACACGCAACGAAAGAAATTATTTCTAAAGACATCAGAAAAAAGAGCTCTCCTGCAGCTGGTTGCGACCCAAACACGTCTCCATACAGCGGCCGGCCGTCCTGCCAGGCACCAACACACGAACACACAACAAACGGAATTGATTTTAGGGACCTCTCCTGCAGAAAAAAGACCTCTCCTGCAGCTGGCTGGTCGTGACCCAAACACGTCTCCATGCAGCGGCCAGCCGTACTGCCAGGCAGGAACAAAGAGGGTGAAACAACTGAGACATCTAAAAAAAAAGGGTCGAACAGCTTAGACCTTGCGCTTAGCCTTCACTTCAGAGCAGTCTCCAAAAGCCTGTTCGAAATGACAGCCAAGGAGGAGTGCGTGCGAGACCACAATCAAAAGCTCATTCTAAATAAGGGCAGGAAGAGAGGAACAGAACGGGAAGTGAGGAACAGAGGAAGCCAAAACTCAGCAGCTGATAGCAGGACGTTCTTCGTCCACAGGCGGCTTGCCCCACCCTTCAGGCTGGTAACCAAAGGAGGCGCCTGCAGGGATGGGAGCGATGAGTCCCAAACCGCCCCTATGTCCCCTGTCCCAGTAATCCCAGTCATTTGCCCCATTAGCCCCACAAACCCACCTCGTCCACAGGCGGCTTGCCCCACCCTCCGGGCTGGTAACCAAAGGAGGCGCCTGCAGGGATGGGAGCGTTGAGTCCCGGGATCTTCATGTGCGGGTATGAGGGTGGTGGGCCGTAGCGCTGTGAAAGAGAGGGGCGGGAGGCACAGGGGAGGCAAGACATGGAGGCAAGACATGGCAAGTCATTACTCCAAAGGCAAGAATACGTAACATGCCGTGTCATAAGGTTGCTTTTGCAGTGATGATGTCTCTCCTCCTCTTACCTACTACCTGCATGAGAATGAGCAACAGTGGAAAAGACTCTCAGTCGAGGCAAGCAACTCCTTTCGGTAAAGAACCCCAAATAACGACTCATTTCCCATCATCAATCCACCCATCCCGTTGCCCACCATGATTCCATCCCAACATGCAAGCCCCTGTACCCTACCTGCATGTTGATGAGCCACGGAGGAGGCGAGTTGCTGTCAGTCATTCCTAGTGCGTTCTTCAGAGCACTGGACAAGTGGCCTGGCTTGTAGTCCCGCGTCTTGCTCTGTGTTGGGGATGGGGTGAGAAATCGGGTGAGAAGCATGGGAGAGGGCGAGAAGCATGGGAAAGGGCGAGAAGGATGGGAGAGGGTGAGAGGAAAGGGAGAGGAGGGCGGGGGGAGGTTGAGAGGGTGAGAGGGAGGGGGCGCGGTGAGGAGGGAATAGGGAGTGAGGGAGGGGATAGGGGTAGAAAGGAGGGAATAGAACAGAGGAAGGGGACAGGATGAGAAGGAGATAGGGAATAGGGCGAGAGGGAGGGAACAGGGTGAGAAGGAGCGAGTAGCACGAGAGGGAGGGAACAGGGTGAAAAGGAGATAGGGAATAGCGCGAGAGGGAGGGGACCGACAATGCCCCTGCCTGCTCGCTCACCACAGAGCAACGCACCTCAAACTCGTTGCCCTCGTAGCTGCAAAGCAACCACCCACTTACATCTTGAAGGTACGTGGTTGGAATCAGAGTCCCCTTCCTCACATGAGCCCAATACCTCCCTTTACCCCACCCACTCTCTCCCCTGCCCCCCCAATTCCCCCCCTTTTACCCGCACTCCTCCCTTCCCCCCAAGCGCCCCCCTTTCCTCCCAACTCTCCCCCCTTCCGCCCCATTCGCCCCTTTCCCCCTCCTCTACTCAGTGTGAAACGCACCTCAAACTCCTTGCCCTCGTAGTACAGGTCGCCCACGTATGTAAGCTTGGGCTTCGTCTGGTACTTGAAGAAGGCGTCGTGCAACACCTGGAAGAGGGGCGGTTGGGGGGAGAAAGGAGGGAACGCGATTAGTGTGGGAGGGACGGTGAGAGAACACCTCGTGCTTGGGCTTTGCTAGATACTTAAGGAACGCGTCGTGCAGCACCTGGGAGAGGGGAGCGACAGAACGACGAGGAACCGAGAGAACGCACAGGCAGAGCACAGGCGGAGCACAGAGCACAGGCGGAGTGAACAAGAAATTAGGGAGACAGTGAGTTGAGGTTACTTAAAAGCAGGCGCAGAAGTGGTAGACAAAACACTGAGGAAGGGGAAGCAGCAAGTAGTGTGGGAAAGGGCAGGGTCCCTCTTGAGTGGAATCCCAGCCGCAATCACACCACCCCAACCACAGCAACTGGGAAGGGACGCCACTGATAGTGGGCTGCATCTTGGGCCGCAATCACACTGCACCTGATAGTCAATGTCCCTTTTCCCCATCTTGGGCTGCATGCGATGCAACAAGGGAGTCGGCTAGGCAGCTAGGCAGACCAGGACCAGCACACCATCCCCCCACAACACCTGGCAAGGCACAGCATGGCACCTGGTAGTCAATGTCCATCTTTCCCATCTTGGGCTGCATGCGGTCGCGCTGCTTCTGCTTCATCTTTTTGCTGTCCTCCTTCTCCGCATATGCCTGAGAGGAGGATGGAGAAGGGCGGAGGGGGGACACATTTGGACAGATATAAGAATGGATGGACATTGTCAGGATGACCACACAAAGTAGGGCAGAAAACGAGTAGGGAAACGCACAGAAACGAAAGCGGGGAGGCTGGGAAGAGGGAAAGTGGGCAGCAAGGCAAGGGCAATGTAGCAGCTATGAATTCCCAAAAACGCCACACAGGCTTTTCGATACCCCTCTTGCAGACGAGCAGGCAGAGGAGCAGCACAGAGAGCAGCTAGGAGCGGCGAAGGAATGAATGCAACACGGCACCCACCTGTCTGAGTTTCTCAATGCCAGTCGCAGCGATGAAGTCTGGAAGCTGCCACACAGGCTTCTCGATACCCCTCTTGCCCTGCAAATGGACCACGCATGAGAGCAGAAGAGTGGCGGGCGGGAGAACGAGAGAGGATAAGAGAAGCACAGACGGACGAGGATGCGAGGAGGGAGTGGAGGAGAGGGGGAGTGAAGAGAAGGTAGGAAGGGAGGTGTAGGAGAGAGTAGGTGGGGCGAGGCCAGGATAAGAGGTGACGGGAGGAGGGAGAAAGGTGTGGGGCGGAAGTAGCGGCAGGTGATCCGCAGGAGGAGGAGGGATAGGCGATGTGAGGGGGGAATAGGAGGAGGAGGAAGAGAAAGGGAGGGGAAGATGGGAGAGGAGGGGAGGAAACAAGGAAGAAAGGAAAACGTTAGTATTTGCTTGATTCAAGACAAGGGGCAGTGGCCATGTCAAAAGGGTGATTTTTTAGGCGCCTCAAAAACGAGGGGCAGTGGCCATGTCAAAATGCGCCAAAAAAAAAGATAAGGGTGGTTGACGAAATGCAAAATGGAGGGGAGAAAGAGTGTGTCTTGTCTCTCAAAAACCCCAACACGGGCCTTTCCAACCAATCTCTCTGCTGGAACGGTTCACCCCGAATCTGCCAAGTGAAAGAGAGGAAGTACGCAGTCAAATGCACATCAGTGGAACCTACGCTACTGCTGGGTGGGAAAACCCCAGCAAACAAGTGATCAGGGGAAAGGGAAATATTGTATTGGGATACATAAACGAACAAGTAGGGGATGCGAGACAAGAGTAGAAATGGACGTGGTGACAGAATGGAGGCACTATCCTGTATCGCGTCACAAGCTCTCTCTCTCCCCATTCTCACCGTCGAATCCCATCAGATTCCCTAAACCACCGCACAGAATTTGAATTGCAGAAGGAAGCAATCGTCGGTCCAGGTCAGCAGCTCGCAGCAGCAGGACGTGCAGCAGGGCAGGGACAGGGACCCTGCAGCAGCCGAAGGGAGAAATAAGACCCACGAGGCAGGACCTGCGACCGTGTCGCGCTAGCTAGCACGTACCGCTTGCATGCATATGGGGGTTCTGTTCTGACATAATGAGAGGCGGGTGGGCGGCACTGAGTGGCCGGCACGGCACCACCCAAAGGGTGGGCGGGCGGCATGACCTTAAGGGTGGGTGGCATCACCTGGAGGTATTTGCGTTTCTGCGACCAGTGGCGTGGCACGGGGACAGTGTTGCGATATGCCTTGAGGAACACGAGCAGGCGAGGGTCCGATGCTGTGGGGTCCCACACCTGTGGTAGTGAGAGGGAGAGGGGGGAGAGGGACGAGATGGGGGAAGGGGAGGAGGGACGAGAGGGTGGAGACGAGGCATGAGCATGATGTTGCAACACGCCTTGGGGTACACACGCAGGCGAGGGTCCGATGCTGTGGGGTCCCACACCTAAGCAGGGGAGGGAGAGAAGGGAGGTGGGGTGGTGGGGAGGGAAGGAGGATGAACGAGGAGACGTAGAAGGAACGCAGCACGTATGATAAAGAACTGCTGAAGATAAGCCTTGTGGCGCAGAGTAACCGAGGATCCGATGCTCCCACAAATGTGGAAACCACAATCAGTTCAATGGGTGACATGGGGACAACAAGACAACCTGACATCGTTACATGGTGGCGTCGTGGCCACATGACACCATGACATGGGATGTGGCTGGGAGAAGACATACCTCCACGACTTCTGGGCGCGCACAGATCTGCTTCAGCTCGCCCACCTTCATTCTGTTCTTCATCTGATGGCATGGGGTGTGCATGGCATGGGATGGCATGGGTGGGACGTGACGTCACACGGCTTGAGCTGGCATGAACTGGCATGGGTTGGGATGTATCTCTGATTCAACCCGCCCAGCTTCATTCCAATCTTTATTCAATGGTGTGTGCAGGGTATGTGACGCATGGCATAGGGTAGCATGTGGCATAGAAACGCACATAACGGCATGGGACGAGAATGACAAACATCATGACTGGTAGTCACAGGCACGTGAACGCATCCCAATAGGGGCAAGCATCAGCATCAGGTAAGCATGAGCGTGAGCGTGAGCATAAGCATGAGCATGAGCATGAGCATGAGCATGAACTTCCCACCTTCCTCTCCTTGTTGCTCACGCCCTTCTCCTTGTCCTCCTCCTCCTCATCATCGTCCTCATCATCCGAATCTGCCTTTTTCTTCTTCTCTCCCTTGTCCTCATCCTCTTTCTCTTCCTCCTGTTCAGAAAAGAATTCGAGAGAAAAAATGGCATGCAGAAACACATGCACAAGATGCTTGTCAGCTTCTTCTAACCTCTTAACTACCTTAAGCCCTTATGCAGTGTGAATCTCTCGAAGATCTGCTTACCTTAGGCTCTTCCACAGTTGCGAATTTCTCAAAAATCTTCAGGAAATCCTCGAATCCTTCTCCCTCAATCTCCGGCTTCTCTGTAACGTACTCCACTTGCACCCCCGCCAGCACCTGAAAGAAAAAACGGAATTCCCAAGGGATGTCCAGTGAAAATGCAAGATTTCTGTAACATACTACGCCTGCACCTGAAAAGGCAGACGCATATCTCAAGTGAGAAAAACGGAGTGTTTGCGGCAAACCCTAGATGAGAACTTTGAATGAATTCTAAGACAGAAACCCGAGACTGAAACCCCATATGAAAGCCCAAAACAGGAACCCTAGATGGAAGAGCCTACCGCCTTGGGCTTCTCGTCCTCGGCCTCTTCCTCCTCCTCCTTCACCGTTCCCTTGTTCGCTGCCTTAGATTTCTTCTTCTGTTTCTTTCGCCGCCTTCGCTTCTCCACTTCCTTCTCCTTTTTCGTCATCGCGACACCGTTGACCCCGTTGACCCCTTCAACCCCGTTGACCACGTTGGCCGCCGCTTCACCACCCGCTTCCGTCGCTTCAGCATCCGTGCCCTTCGCTTCACCATCTGGTTCCTTGTCTGAATCTTCTTGCGTCACCTTAGTCTCTTCTCCATCCGTTGCAAGACCGTTCATCTGGTTGCCATCTGCTTCACTGTGCTTCTCCGCCTCGATATCCGATCCGGTTTCGGTATTAGCTGCTCCGTTTCCGGCTTCCGCTTCCGCTGACCTAGCATTGACTTCATCGCCTTCAGCCGCACCGTTGACACCGTTATTAGCATCTTCGTTATCAGCTCCCCTGGTATCAACTCCACCAACATCATCATCGTTCTCTGCACTGGCATCTGTTATGTTGTCAGCGACTTTCCCTTCAGATCCTTCTCCAGAAGCGTTAACTTCACCCGCTGATTGGTCAGCGTCTAAATTTCCCGTTTCCGTCGCTAACGGATCGCCATCCGCGTCACGATCTTGCGCGCCTTCCGTGACGGGTTCTGCTTGAGCCGGAACGCTCTCGCGTTCATTATGCTCATCCATGACGTCATCCTCTGAAGCCATGATTCGTTGCTATCGCTGGCGGTATGCGACAAGCGGTTACGCCCAACAAGATATAACAACCTCCAGCCCGTACCGTTGCTCCTGATAGTGGTGTAAACGCTGCGCGCTACGGGGAAAACGGTGCGATGATGGAAGCTGAAAGAAAGGGTTGTGACTCGTGAATGAGTTATGGGATGGAAAGCTGTCAGTCATTATCAGCTTCGTTCCAAGCTGCTACTAATATTACATGGGAAGGTGAGCATTACTAAGATCCAACATTAGAGTATTTTTATCCAACCACCACCAATATAATTGGAACAGAAACATTATCAACTGTTGGATCAGTATTCGGTTATATTTGATGTCTTCTACCACTTATAAACGAATTGGTTAAGTGAGAGGGATCTAAGATTTGAGGAAATGCATATATTGAATCTCTACTGCGGCATATTAGTTATTTCAGAAGAAAAGCGCTCTTATGTATATTCGCCTCTAATGGGATATATTGGGATATACAGCATCAAATGTGCATCTAGTCTGAGAATATCATAGTTGATTCCGTTTGATTTTGACTTGAGAACATCCTACATGGGAGTCTTCATACGGAGGATGGTTTGGGGTTGGGTGTGATTTGCCGTGGGGTGGGGACGAGGTTCTGCCTAGGGGGGTTCATTCCCTGGTACAGGTCGGGTTCATGCTGATCTGCCGTGTTCCAGGCGGTTCTGCTGGTGTGGTTCCAGTCCAGTCCAGGTCCAGGCACTCTGAACGTATGGAAGTACATCGGTTACCACCACGCAGTCGCAATTCTGAAAGCAGCGGCATTCGCCAACCCTAGAATGCAGCGAGCAACTGGCACCGTTAGCTGTAGCCACGTGGAATCGCCACCAATGAATCGCACTTAAGCATCGTTACTTGGAACGTGTGCGCCATCGCAACCACTCGTAGGTCTGCTTACATGTCGTTAACATTTCGCAGCCACTCACCTTGTGGGATCACGAATCTTCCGTGCTATGACCGCCAGTTTCAGCGGCGTCTTCCTTCGTGGCCTGTCTGTTTCCTATTTTCTTTTCTGCGTCACCCAAACCGCTGTTACTGCATTGATTGGCAAATTTCCTGGCAAAGTTACAAAAGACACGGAGGCAAGGGACAGACGAATTGACCTAGGGGACTCCATTTGGCTGAAGAAAGCATATTTGGCTCACCAAAGATGAACGACTTTGGGATTACAGCTTGGACAAACGACTGCACTTCCGATTGTACTTCGTGATGATCCCCCATCACCTTGGTTCCCCGTCACGTTCACACAGATTCCATCAGCAGGCACAGCTTTTTGCTAGTAATCCGTTCGTTTGTCACCTCCACCGATGCCAGGATAGGTCAAGGCGAGTCGCTCGTTGCTCACGTCGAGTCAATAGCATATTGTGGTGGATAAAGGAGAGCTCCATTTGCCATCTTTAGTTCCATGCTGGACAAGAGAATCATTAGCTTGTTTGACTAAGGGTACAGTGCTTGTGGCATTTCACTCCCTAAGATTCGGCATTCTTCCAGCAAATACGAGCGATGATTACACTACTTGAGTCCCTTTGCCTTCAAGGCTATTAAATTATTTATTTATTTGATAGCGGAACACTCGTCAGACGTGATGAAGTCAGCTAAAGTTTACGGAGCACCTCGCTTCGCAGACACCACTATGCGTCCTGTATCAGACAGGGAGACTGAACAGGTCAGCGACGCGGTAAAAACGACGGATGCAGGCTGTTTGCCTCCGTCTTCTATTGGACACTTCTTGTATGTCATGAGAAATGGAAGCCTTACAATCAGACCGGTTGTCTCCCAACCTACGCGCAGGCAATTATCGCTATGAAAAAAGGGAGTCGGCTGTTGAAATACTCCCGGCTTGGCAGGCCGCGTGCCTGCTACCTTCGGGTCACAACGGTAACATTCGCTCCGCTCACATGTATCATAGCTCGTTTTTCCTCCTGGAGACTCGCTTCTTGAAGGTTTGCCTGACATGGCCTCGCTATTCCCGCCAACGCAGGACGAGTGCGATCTCGTATACATTTCCGGCGACCGTGAGAAAACGTTCCCTCTGGCCAACGTCAGTCAGATTCTCTGGGGCCAGCGAACGGTACGGATTTCACATTATAATTCAGCTTTACGGACGTTATAGCTTCGGCGCGCGCGTTTTTGTCGGGATAGGCTCCTCGAACCTGCCGCGCGCTCACGCGTTTGCCTGTGGATGCTGGTTCCTTCCCTGTGGGTTCTTTGTGCACCAGGGCAGCTTCGCTCGGTCGTCCAGAAGCGACAAGGACAACCAATCCTTCTCCCTCATCTTCGGCGAGGGAGAGCGACCACTCGACGTGGTACGTACTACGCAAGCACAGTGAAATTCATACTTGCCTCTGCGCTTGCCTTACGATTCTTTCCATGTTCAAATTGTCTGGAACGTTCTGCTTCTCAAGGGATGTGGTGCGCTGGCTTGCATGTTCTGGTGGGGAGACTTGTAAGGTGTCCTGCAGGTGTGGAAGGACAAGGGGGAGGCGGAGAGGAAATGACAACACCAATCATTTGTTTGAGACTCGTAAATCCTCTATCCGTTTCCCCTGCAGGTATGGAAGGACATGGAGGAGGCAGAAATGTGGTACACCGGCCTGTGTGCTCTGGTGGAGAGGAAATGAAGTTACAGATTAGACCTTTGAAGCATGGTTGGTCCTCTCTCCGTTTTGGTCGTCTCTCTGTAACCCTTCAGGTGTGGAAGGACACGGAGGAGGCGGAGATGTGGTACACTGGCATGCGTGCTTTGGTGGAGAGGAACCGGCGTCCTAAGTCAGAGCGCCTAGGGCTGAGCCACCGGCGATCCGCGTCCATGACCCTGGATGAGCTTCGGGAGTGGTCTCCCGACATGTCGCCCTTCCGACAGAGAGTAGAGGTAGGCTTCCGTCGAGGCTCTGTTTCTCCTTCAATCGTCCTGTCCCTGTCTTTCTTGTCATCCCATTACGCACTCCCGCCCTCTCGTTCTCATCTTCCCTTCCTTCGTTCCTCGATCTAACGCCTTCTCCCGTCCCTCTGTCAATCCCCCCTCCCGCCCTCCCCCGTTCTCAGTCATCCCCCCCAGTGGAACCCAATGAAAGCGGCAGCCTTGCCGACTATAGAAGCCCCCCTGAGAGCCGAGGCACAGGCAGAGGCGAGGGCATGGGCTTGGACACCCTCACAGGAGCAGAAGCAGGAGCAGCAGGAGGGGCAGGTAGCAGTACAGGTGCAGGAACAGGAATGAACTTTTCAAGGTCGGCGCATGACATGACATCTCTGCACGAGAGCATTCTCGGGAGTAGTTCACTGTTTCCCGGGAGCACAAACACTGTAGCAGGGGGAACATCAGCTTCTGGGTCTTCCCGGACGTTTCCTGGAAGCTGCAGCACGAACCAGCCGTGCAGTGAAGCAGGGACGGATGTCAGTGACTTAGACGATTTCTCAGACACGTTATCTATCGGGGGTCTTTCCGTGCAATCCCAACCTCCTTCCACCGCCATCACCACCACCAGTACCGCCACCACCATAGCAACCAATTCGCCCTCCATCCCCTCCTCCACCTCTGCTACAGCCACCACCACTGCCACTGCAGGAAATACCAGTGCTGCTGCCAATGCTGGTACTTCTTCTAGCCCTGCCAGTGCCAACTTTCCGTACGCAGCAGCACCGGCCCCAGGTCACAGCACAGTCATTCCCTCTACTTGGTCAGCCGATCGTGCCGAACTGCTCCCCGGGCTGCCCGTGAAAAGTTTTTACAGTGGGTCGAGCGACGGGTCTGGGTATTTACCCAGTGCGACGAGCAGCAGTACAGGGGACGACGGGAGCGAGGTTCTGGGGGATTTGTTTATGTGGGGAGAAGGGCTGGGGGATGGGGCGTTAGGAGGGGGCGGATTGAGGAAACGTGGGGCGAGCAGTGCGATTCCGATCCCTGGATTTGATTCGGTGGTGCCGAAACCGTTGGATGCAGGAGTGGTGCTGGATGTGTGCCACGTGGCATGTGGGGAGGGGCATGCAGCGCTGGTGACGAGGCGAGGGGAGGTGTTCTGCTGGGGGGAGGAGGGAGGGGGGCGGCTGGGTCAGGGGCGTGAGAGGGACTTGGAACACCCGAAGCTGGTGGAGGGTTTGGATGGTATCCCTATGGATGAGGTGAGTGAATTGGGGAAAATGAGGGAATGGGGTGAGATGGGTGTGAATGGGGGTGGGGCTGGGACAGGTCAGGGGCGTGAGAGGGACTTGGAACATGATACTGGTGGAGGGGCTAGATGGGGTTTCCATGGATGAAGTGAGGTGAGGTGGTTGAATGGGGTGAGGCGTGTGAATGGGGTGAATACTCCCCCGGTCCTCTTCTCATCCTCTCCCCCGTCTTCCCCCCCACTTCCCCTCATCCTCCCCACCGTCTTCCCCCCCACCTCTCCCGTCCTCCGCCCATCCCGCAGGTCGCCTGTGGCAGTTTCATCACACTCGCTCTCTCCAGGCAGGGGAGGAATTTCTCTGGGGGGACGGCCGCAAGGGCAGGGGCCTTCTGGGGTTTTTTTTATTCATGAGGTGAAGCAAACACTCCCCCATTCCTCTCCCCATCCCGCAGGTCGCCTGTGGCAGTTTCGTCACACTCGCTCTCTCTAGGGCAGGGGAGGTGTTTCTCTGGGGGGACGGCCGCAAGGGCAGGGGCCTTCTGGGGGAGGGCGGATACGAGGACATGCCCCAGTGGGTGCCCAGGCGTGTGGGGGGAGCCCTGGACGGGGTGTATCTGGTGCAGGTGGCATGTGGGCCGTGGCACGTGGCGGCTGTAGCAGCTACAGGCCAGCTGTTCGCGTTCGGAGACGGCACGTTTGGAGCCCTTGGGCATGGAAACTGCGAGTAAGCACTTGTTTGGTGACGCTTCTTAGGACAAATTATCCCCACAGGAAACTTTAACAGTCCTTCTTGCAATCGCTTTGCACAAGAAGGACGTCTCCCCACCCCCATTTCCAACCCACCCCCTCCCCTCGCCTGCCTCCCTCCCCTCCCACCCCTCCCATTCCCTCCTCCCTCCCTCTTATACCCATCCCGCCCCAACACCACCCTGTTGTCTCTCCCCCTCTCTATCCCTGCTGCATCCGCCCCATTTGTTCCCCACACCCATCTATCCCCCATTCTCCCCACAAACACCTACCTCCCTCTCCCCCCCACCATTCTCCCTCACCTCCACTGCAGCATTATCTCATCGCCCAAGGAGGTGGAGTCCCTTCAAGACATGTGGGTGTCCCGCGTTGCCTGTGGCGTGTGGCACACAGCAGCAGTCGTGCACGCCCCCGCCACTGCAAGCACCCCTTTCCCCCTTACCTCCTGTTGCCCCCCTCAAACACTCCACTACAGCATTATCTCATCGCCCAAGGAGGTGGAGTCGCTTCGAGGCATGCGGGTCTCCCGCGTTGCCTGCGGCGTGTGGCACACTGCAGCAGTCGTGCACGGTCCCAGCACTGCAAGCTCAGGCACCACCGCAGCAAGTGACACTGCAACGATCCCCTCAGCGGGAACAATTGAAGGCGATTCTGCAGCAGCAGTGGGGACAGTAGCAGCAGCGGGGGCGGGAACAGGGGGAACAGGTGGATTAGCTGGGGTCGGCATGGCAGGGGGCGTGGTAGCAGGGGGTGTAGCAGGCGGGAGGCTGTACACATGGGGTGATGGAGATAGGTACAAGCTGGGTCATGGCGACAAGCAGCAGCAGCTGCTGCCCAAGGCAGTAGACGCTCTCAGCCAAGTTGACATCTCTCAGGTATTATTCCCCAGCCATCCCTCCCAGTGCCGTGATGCCATCCCTCCCTCAGCCGCCCATCGCTCACCCTTCTCCCCATTCCCCTGGTACCCCCTTAGCAGGTGGCATGCACTCACGCCATCAGGCCATGTGTACGCCGTGAGGCCATCTCTTGCCCCTGCTCCCGATACCCTGCTGTCCTTTCCCCTTCCATACCCTGCCATCCCTTCCCCTTCCATACCCTGCCATCCCTTCCCCTTCCATACCTTGCCATCCCTTCCCTTGCTACCCATACCCTCGCACCCCCTGGCAGGTGGCTTGCGGGCAGGACATCACAGTAGCGCTCACGCCATCAGGCCATGTGTATGCCATGGGGTCAGCAGCTCATGGACAGCTGGGGAACCCCCAGGCAGACGGCCACACCCCAGGTAGGTAGCATGTGTTGGCAGCATGCGTACTTGTATGGGCAAAGCTTCACCTGACTAGGCCATGTGTACACCATGGGGTCAGCAGCTCATGGACAGCCGGGGAACCCGCAAGCAGATGGCCACACTCCCAGTAGGTAGCATGTGCGAGGGAGAAGGTATGCATGCATGCATGTATGGGCAAGGCATCACACCATCAGGCCAAGTGTACGCCATGAGGTCATCAGCTGGGGAACTTCCAAGCGGATGGCCACACTCCAGGTGATAGCAGCATGTGATGACAGCACACACTCATGTGGCATCGCATGAGCAGGCCATGTGTGTGCGTTGGCCTCAGAAGCTCTGGGCAGCTGACCCATGTAGTAATTTCTTAGGCACCTAAAAGATCGTGCCAGCTAGCTCGTGAAGTCACATAAGCGCCTCCTTTCCCGTCTTCCCTTCTCCCCTCGCTCCTGTTCCCAGCCCTTCTGTCCCGTCCCCCGCTGTTTAAAAAAACCGAGCAGATAGCATGCGGCACCCACCACACAGCAGCCCTCACTGCAGCGTCAGATATCCTCTTGACACCCTTTTCCCCTCTTGTCCCGTTGCCCTTTCCAGCCCTTGTGTCTGGACCCCCACTATTTAAGCAGATCAAGCAGATTGCATGCGGCACCCACCACACAGCAGCCCTCACTGCAGCGTCAGATATCCTCTTGACACCCTTTTCCCCTCTTGTCCCGTTGCCCTTTCCAGCCCTTGTGTCTGGACCCCCACTATTTAAGCAGATCGAGCAGATTGCATGCGGCACCCACCACACAGCAGTCCTCACTGCAGCGTCAGATATCCTCTTGACACCCTTTTCCCCTCTTGTCCCGTTGCCCTTTCCAGCCCTTGTGTCTGGACCCCCACTATTTAAGCAGATCGAGCAGATTGCATGCGGCACCCACCACACAGCAGTCCTCACTGCAGCGTCAGATATCCTCTTGACACCCTTTTCCCCTCTTGTCCCGTTGCCCTTTCCAGCCCTTGTGTCTGGACCCCCACTATTTAAGCAGATCGAGCAGATTGCATGCGGCACCCACCACACACCAGCCCTCACTGCAGCGTCAGATATCCTCTTCACACCCTTTTCCCCTCTTTTCCCGTTGCCCTTTCCAGCCCTTGTGTCTGGACCCCAACTATTTAAGCAGATCGAGCAGATTGCATGCGGCACCCACCACACAGCAGCCCTCACTGCAGCGTCAGATATCCTCTTGACACCCTTTTCCCCTCTTGTCCCGTTGCCCTTTCCAGCCCTTGTGTCTGGACCCCCACTATTTAAGCAGATCGAGCAGATTGCATGCGGCACCCACCACACACCAGCCCTCACTGCAGCGTCAGATATCCTCTTCACACCCTTTTCCCCTCTTGTCCCGTTGCCATTTCCAGCCCTTGTGTCTGGACCCCCACTATTTAAGCAGATCGAGCAGATTGCATGCGGCACCCACCACACAGCAGCCCTCACTGCAGCGTCAGATATCCTCTTGACACCCTTTTCCCCTCTTGTCCCGTTGCCCTTTCCAGCCCTTGTGTCTGGACCCCCACTATTTAAGCAGATCGAGCAGATTGCATGCGGCACCCACCACACAGCAGCCCTCACTGCAGCATCAGACCTCTTCACTTGGGGCCAGGGCAGTCACGGCCAGTTGGGGCATGGAGACGTGCGGGACAAGGAGACCCCCACGAGGGTTGAAGCCATCAAAGATCAGCGTGTGCTGTCGGTGAGTCAGTAAGGCATGGAGGGTGGGGGGGCACGGATGGTGTGAATGGTGAATCATGAGGATGGAAGGGATGGCTTGATAGGACAGTCACGGGCAGTTGGGGCATGGGGACAGAGAGGTCCCCACGAGGGTCGAAGCCATCAAAGACCAGCGCGGGCTGTCGGTGAGTCTGTGGGGTATGGGGAATTGGGCGTGGAGGAGGGGTATTTTGTAAGGGGTTCATGAGGGTGGGGTATGGATGGAGGGTGGAGCATGGCGCATGGAGGATGGCGCATGGAGGATGGCGCATGGAGGATGGGGCATGGAGGATGGCGCATGGAGGATGGGGCATGGAGGATGGCGCATGGAGGATGGCGCATGGAGGATGGCGCATGGAGGATGGCGCATGGAGGATGGCGCATGGAGGATGGCGCATGGAGCATGGCGCATGGAGGATGGGGCATGGAGGATGGGGCATGGAGGATGGGGCATGGAGGATGGCGCATGGAGGATGGTGCATGGAGGATGGCGCATGGAGGATGGCGCATGGAGCATGGCGCATGGAGGATGGCGCATGGAGGATGGCGCATGGAGGATGGCGCATGGAGGATGGCGCATGGAGGATGGGGCATGGAGCATGGGCCCTATTTTGGAACCAGCATCACGAGCTCATATCTCTGTCACTCTCTCTCTCCCTCTCCTCTCTCACTATCACTCCCTCTATTACATTCACATTCCTCTCATTCACTCCCTCGATTACATTCACATTCGTCTCAATCACTCCCTCTACTACATTCACATTCCTCTCAATCACTCCCTCTATTACATTCACATTCCTCTCAATCACTCCCTCTATTACATTCACATTCCTCTCAATCACTCCCTCTATTACATTCACATTCCTCTCAATCACTCCCTCTATTACATTCACATTCCTCTCACTCACCCGCTCTATTACATTCACACTCCTCTCAATCACTCCCTCTATTACATTCACATTCCTCTCAATGACTCCCTCTATTACATTCACATTCCTCTCACTCACCCCCTCTATTACAATCACACTCCTCTCAATCACTCCCTCTCTGTTCTCCACTGCAGGCATCCTGCGGGCCAGCCAGCACAGCGGTGATGTGTCAGCATCAGCACGCACAGGGCTCAGACCACCACCACTGCACGCTGCTGTTTCCACCTCTCCTCACGCTCCCTATCTGCCCCTCTCTGTCGCTTCTCCACCTCAGGTGTCCTGTGGGCCAGCCAGCACAGCAGTGGTGTGTCAGCACAGGCATGCACAGGGCTCAGACCACCACCACTGCACACTCTGCCGCCAGGCCTTCTCCTTTGCCCGCATCCGCCACCACTGCTACAACTGCTCCCTCCCCGTCTGCCACGCCTGCAGCCCCCGGAAACTGCTAGGGGCAGCCATGGCTCCGACTCCCACCCGTCCTTACCGTGTGTGCGACACGTGCTTTAACAAGATGAGTAAGGCTTCAGCCAGCAGCAACGGCAGTACTAGCAGTACCATCAGCAGCAGTAGCGGCAAGTTGAGTAAGGGTTCTAATAGTATCAGTACCAGCAGCAGCATCAATTTGAAGAGCACTAGCAGCACCGGCAGCAGCAGCAGCAGTATCAGCAGCAGCGGCAGTCTGGGAGGCATGGGGAGCGGCGGCGGAGGAGGCGGAGGAGGAGCAGGGGGAGGGGGTAAGCCTGGGCTGTTCACCAGCAGCAGTGGCGGTAGTGCTGCTGCTGGTAATCGTGGTAGTAGTGCTGGTGGTGGTGCTGCTGCTGCTACTGCTGCTGGTGGGAACTTTTTATCCCTCGGCAGCAACAGTGCTATATCTGGAAACTCTATAGGCCCAGGAGCAGCAGGGATGAGAAGCAGCACTAGTAGGGCCAAGGCAGGGTCATTCTCAGGAACACCTGGGATTACTCCTGGAAACTCTCCTGGAAACACCGCAGAGATTGCGCATGTGCATGCACGCAGCCATGATGGGGGGTCAGCACTGCCCCTCCCCATGTGGGGGGCGGTCTCTCCGCCTCCTCTATTCGCCTCCCTCGTTTCAAGTCAAGCCTTCGCTCCCATGACTTACCAGTATCCCCAGTACCCCCATACGCAGGCACAACAGCAGCAACAGCAACAGGCAGGGCAGCAGGCCAGCCTTCGTAGATCTCCACCCCCTCAGCCCCAACATGCCGCCCCGTCCCCTAACAACTCCGTCTCCTCGTCCCTCCCCATCCTCCCCTCCGGCTTCCTCTCTCAGGCTTCCTCCTCCTCTTCTTCCTCCTCGTCTTCCCCCTCCTCTACTACCTCTTGGCTCTTCTCCCAAACCAGTGCGTCTCTCTCAACCAGTATCGCCAGCCCTACACCCTCGTCCACTCTTGCACCCAACAGCGCTACCACCACCACCCCTCCCACTCTCCCTTCCCGCCATTCCTCCCACTCCCTCTCCCCGAACCTCCCGGAAGACTCCGGGCCTCCGCCCCGGGCCTCCCGGACCATCTCCCTCCGAGGCTCGGTGGCAGGCTTGGTGATAGGCTCGGGCCGGCGGCCGTCCAGTCCGCTGATGTGGCAGTCGAGTAATAGTCCGTTGGGGGCGGGGAGAGCGGCAAGTCCTACGGGAGCTCAGGTTGCTGCTGCTGCTGCTGCTGCCGCTGCAGCTATGATAGCTGGTAGCAGTGCTGCTGGCGGTGGTGTGGGTAGAGGTGCTGCTGCTGGTGGCTTCCCTGTGATTGGTGGAGTGGGAGTGGATCCTTGGGATTGGAGGCAGCAGGGGGGTGCGGTGGGGAGTGGGGAGGCGCGGTGGAGAAAGGCGAAGGAGGAGGCAGACAAGGAGATTCAGAGACTGCGAGAAGAGGTGCGCAATAGCATGGTAGAGCTCAGGATCAGTAACCGCAGAAGGGGAGAACAATGTTGCAGATAGCATCACAATCTGAAAAGAAGACACGTGTGCAAGCTGAAAAAGAGACACGTGTGTGCGACGTGTGCATGCATATCACATGTGATGTGTGCATGTGATGTGTGCATGTGCATATGCATGTCATTTGTGACTATAATCTGTTTTGTTTTTTCTTTTCTTTTCCGTAACCCTTTGTTTCCATCTCCTCGCTCTTCTGCCCCAACCACCAGCTACAAGCCGTGCAAGCAAGAAGTGCGGAGGTGGAGAGGGAGCGGCAGGCAGAAAGGCATCTAGCGAGGAAGCAGGTGGAGGCAGCACTTGCTGCTGCCAGCAAGACCACTGCTCGTACTGCTGGCTCTTACAAGCCCTTTCTTCCCCCTTGCCTCCCTCCAGCTACGAGTGGTGAAAGCGAGGAGTGCGGAGGTGGAGAGGGAGCGGCAGGCAGAGAGGCGGCTAGCGAGCAAGCAGGTGGAGGCAGCACTTGCTGCTGCCAGCAAGACCACTGCTCGTACTGCTGGCTCTTACAAGCCCTTTCTTCCCCCTTGCCTCCCTCCAGCTACGAGTGGTGAAAGCGAGGAGTGCGGAGGTGGAGAGGGAGCGGCAGGCAGAGAGGCGGCTAGCGAGCAAGCAGGTGGAGGCAGCACTTGCTGCTGCCAGCAAGACCACTGCTCGTACTGCTGGCTCTTACAAGCCCTTTCTTCCCCCTTGCCTCCCTCCAGCTACGAGTGGTGAAAGCGAGGAGTGCGGAGGTGGAGAGGGAGCGGCAGGCAGAGAGGCGGCTAGCGAGCAAGCAGGTGGAGGCAGCACTTGCTGCTGCCAGCAAGACCACTGCTCGTACTGCTGGCTCTTACAAGCCCTTTCTTCCCCCTTGCCTCCCTCCAGCTACGAGTGGTGAAAGCTAGGAGTGCGGAGGTGGAGAGGGAGCGGCAGGCGGAGAGGCGGCTAGCGAGCAAGCAGGTGGAGGCAGCACTTGCTGCTGCCAGCAAGACCACTGCTCGTACTGCTGGCTCTTACAAGCCCTTTCTTCCCCCTTGCCTCCCTCCAGCTACGAGTGGTGAAAGCTAGGAGTGCGGAGGTGGAGAGGGAGCGGCAGGCAGAGAGGCGGCTAGCGAGCAAGCAGGTGGAGGCAGCACTTGCTGCTGCCAGCAAGACCACTGCTCGTACTGCTGGCTCTTACAAGCCCTTTCTTCCCCCTTGCCTCCCTCCAGCTACGAGTGGTGAAAGCTAGGAGTGCGGAGGTGGAGAGGGAGCGGCAGGCGGAGAGGCGGCTAGCGAGCAAGCAGGTGGAGGCAGCACTTGCTGCTGCCAGCAAGACCACTGCTCGTACTGCTGGCTCTTACAAGCCCTTTCTTCCCCCTTGCCTCCCTCCAGCTACGAGTGGTGAAAGCGAGGAGTGCGGAGGTGGAGAGGGAGCGGCAGGCGGAGAGGCGGCTAGCGAGCAAGCAGGTCGAGGCAGCACTTGCTGCTGCCAGCAAGACCACTGCTCGTACTGCTGGCTCTTACAAGCCCTTTCTTCCCCCTTGCCTCCCTCCAGCTACGAGTGGTGAAAGCGAGGAGTGCGGAGGTGGAGAGGGAGCGGCAGGCGGAGAGGCGGCTAGCGAGCAAGCAGGTCGAGGCAGCACTTGCTGCTGCCAGCTAGACCACTGCTCGTACTGCTGGCTCTTACAAGCCCTTTCTTCCCCCTTGCCTCCCTCCAGCTACGAGTGGTGAAAGCGAGGAGTGCAGAGGTGGAGAGGGAGCGGCAGGCGGAGAGGCGGCTAGCGAGCAAGCAGGTGGAGGCAGCCTTCTCAGCGGCCAGCAGGGCTGCTGCTCGTGCTGCTGGCGCTCGTGACGTCATCCAACTGCTCTCTCAGCAGGTGTGACCCTTTAGTCTGTTTCTAAATATTCCTGTACCTGATTCTGCACCTTATATTCGTGCTCCTGGCATCGCTCGCAAACATGCAGCAGGCCAGTGTGCCTTGCGCCTCCTCCCCATCAGCATCATCTCGTTCTGCTGACTATTTCTGTCCTCCACCTCTCACTCTCCCTTTCATCCCCCCTCCCTCTTCTTCCCCCTCCCTCTTCCACCCCCTCCCTCTGTTTACACCTCCTCCCCCCACCTCCCTTCCACCCATACACAGCTCACCACTCTCACTCAAGATCTCCCTGAGGGCAGCACCAAGCAAGTCAGCCTCGCAGTGACCTCCCTGCCAGCTGCTGTGGCCTACACAGGCCCGCTCCTCTTCCCCATTCTCATCCCCCTCCCTTTCCCCCCTCCCCCCCCTCTTCACTCCTGTCCCTCTTCTCCCCCTTTCTCTTCTCCCTCCCCCCACTTCTTTTTCTCCCTGCCCCCCATCCATACACAGCTCACCTCGCTCACACAAGCTCTCCCTGAGGGCAGCACCAAGCAAGTCAGCCTCGCAGTGACCTCCCTGCCAGCTGCCGTGGTCTACACAGGCCCGCTCCTCTCCTCCACCTCCATCCCTCCAACCCTAACGGAGCTCCCTCCACAACAAGTTACCAGCACTGCCGCTGTGTTGGCTCCAGGACAGGCAGTAGCTGAAGGGGGGCCATGTGGGGAGGGGGCACGTGGGGAGGGGGCACGTGGGGAGGGGGCACGTGGGGAGGGGGCACGTGGGGAGGGGGCACGTGGGGAGGATACATGTGGGGAGGGGTTGTGTGGGGAAGAGGCACGCGGGGAGGTACCAGGTGGGGCTGATTGGGTGGGTGCTACTAGTGGCACTGCTCCATCCACTGATATGGGAGGTGCCAATGGCAGCAGCATAGGGGCTGCACTGAATACCAATAATAGCACATCCGTTTCAAGCACAAGTACAGATACAAGCACGAGCACAGGTGTGGGTACGGACAGTGCGTGTGCCGGTAGCAGCAGCACAGGCAGTGGCAGCTTCGAGGGAAGGGTAAGCGGAGGCAGCAGCAGCGGCGGCGGCGGCGGCAGCAGCAGAAGCAACGACGGCAGTGGTGGCGGTGGCGGTGGCGGTGGCGGCGGCGGTAGCAAGAACTCCAGATTGTTGAAACGCATGGTCACTCCACGCACAGCAGCAGCAGCAGCTGCTGCTGCAGCAGCAGGGCTACAGCCACTAACAGCCAATTTCTCCTTCAACTCCTGGAGTTCCTTAGACTGGACCAGATCCAAATCGCCTCCAGGTGCCGCTGCTGCCGCCGCAGCTGCAGCTGCAGCAGCAGGGATAGCTGGGAGGGACGGTGAGTCCGTTGCAGCAGCTGCGGCTGCGTTGGCCGCGCTGCGGGTGGAAGAAGAGTTGCGGGAATCTTCTGAGGGATGGGAAGGTGCACAAGACGTGGCAGAAGCAGCAGTAGAAGCAGAGGTGCCTGAAGAAGTAGCAGCCAAAAGAGCAGAAGCAGCAGTAGCAGCAGAAGCAGCAGTAGAAGCAGAGGTGCCTGAAGAAGTAGCAGCCAAAAGAGCAGAAGCAGCAGTAGCAGCAGAAGCAGCAGAAGCATCCGGCAAACTGGAAGGCAGTATGCTGAAGGGCTTAGCTGCAGATGTTGAAGGGGATCAAATTAATCGACTTGTGCTGGAAGGGGCAATTCAGGAGGAGATGGTTCAGAAAGATGAAGCACAAAAGCAGCGAGGAGACGGGGATGGGGAGAGCGAGAACGAGATTCCTTCAGAATCGTCATACCTTTCTTCTCAGTCCATGCCTCCTCCTTCAGACTCCTCAAACATCTCTAAACCCGCCAGAAAATCCAACAAGTCTTGGTCGTTTCGAAGCGCAGTGGGCATGCCTTGGAGTCCTGCGGGCGGGTCAGATGAAAACATTGACTCCCCCAGATCGCAGTGGTTCGGGCAGGTGAATAGAGGCGCTGGGAAGACAGGCCTGGGGGTCTCTTCTGAGGCATCTGTGGGGAGCGGAGGGCAGGGGCTTTCTGTTTGCGCTGCAGCAGAAGAGGGGAATCTGCATGGCGATGCTTTAGCTGATGTGGCTGAAGGGGAGGATGAGGAGGCAGAGGAGAGGTTTGCTGGTGGTTGTAGGGAAGGTTCGGAGGGGGCAAGGGAGCCAGATATGGGAGTCTGTGGTGAGGAGGAGGGTAAGGAGGAAGCAGGGGAAGGAGAGGCGGAGGAACGGAGGGATGGGATGGAAGGGATGGGAGCTGCGAGCAAGCAGGTGGGCGCTGATGCTGCTTCCCGGAAAGGGGTTGCTGAAAGGGGAACTGTTATTGTCTCTAAGAAGGTGACTGGCATTGGGATTCCACCTGTGTGGAACGGGATCTGTGAAATGACCCCCAGACCACAGCGACCGGCCAGCAGATTCGCAGTAGATAGGGGTGCGGGCATGGACAGTGCTGCTGCTGTTGCTGTGGTGGATAGAGAGGAGAGGGGGAACGGGCCACTGTGTCCTGATGGATTGGAAGGGAGTGGGGCAGTGCGAGAAGGAAGTGGGGCTCCAGGCAAAGCTTCGTTTGGAAGTGTTGTGAATGATGGATCTGGTACGCTTCTTGCAGCATCGGATCTGGATGGGAACGCTGCAGAAGCGAATCCAGAGGAGAATTATTCTGTGGAGTATTCAGAGGAAGGTGGTACAAAATCCGCTGGACAATGGGGGTATGTGCCAGGCCAGCGGCAGTATGGAGATGTTGTGACGGGTGTGGAGGGTGTGGAGGACCGTGCGGGGGCAGGTGAGGAGGATGGGAGCTGTGGCTGGCAGTATGTGCCACGTGCTATGAGCCGGGGCGAGACAGGGAGTGGTGATTGGGAAGATGCTGGGGGTGAGGAGAGTGCTGGGAGGGAGGTGAATGTGACTGGGGAGGGGGGAGGATACAAGGAGGAGAGTGCTCGAGGGGAGGAGAATAGTGGGCGGGAAGAGAGTGCAAGCAGGGAGGAGAGTGCAAGCAGGGAGGAGAGTGCAAGCAGGGAGGAGAGACATGAGAGGAAGCAAAGGAGCAGGAAGCTGGGAGATGGGGAGTGGGTGGAGCAGCCAGAGCCTGGGGTGTATGTGACTCTGGCAAAGCTGCCTGGGGAAGGGACTGAGCTTCGTCGAATCAGGTTCAGGTAAACCGTTGCTTTAGTTGCGTTGCTGGTGCCTCCGTCTTCTCATCCCTGCTTCCTCGATCCCAACCTCGCAGCTCTGCCCTGGTTTTTTGTGCCTTTTTTGTCAGTACTCTCCACCCTCCGCCCCACCCCCACGACCCCCACATCATCTTCCCACCTTCTCAGCATTCCTTCCCTATGTGCCTTGTAGTCTCTCCACTGAAACTTTTCCTCTCATCCTTTGTCATACCCAAACAATCATCCTTCTTCATTTCCAAACAATCTGTAATTTTTTTCAATAATAAGCTTCTTTGTTTTGCTTGTGTTGTGGATGCTCATCCGTAGCCGCAAGGTTTTCATGGAGAAGCAAGCAGAAACATGGTGGGCGGAAAACAAGGCAGCGGTAACTGCTATGTACCATATCATCAGCACGGCAAAGAAAACGGTGGTTGATTCAGGGAAAGTCCCGCAATAATGCTAGCTGTTTGCCAGTCGGTGGTTCATGCAGCTTGATATAATGCTGATTAAGAGATACCAAGATGTAGGTTGTTACTAGTTGTCCTCATTCTGGGTGGTGAATTAACCTCATTCACGTAATCATTTTAACGTAATATGACATGACAATAAAAATGGCATGCCATGTATGTTATAGTGTATGAGGATCAAAATTGCACTACCGTATCTGAATATTGTACCCTGGGCAAATGGTTTAGCCATTGCGGCGTTATTGTACAGAGTGTACGAATGTATCTGCTGCATTATTCAAACTTGAACCAGCACGGCAGTAAGTCAAAACTCCGCGAGCCTACAAATTTGCGTTGGTATCTGCCAGAGGTTTGTCTAGAATCAGGATTCAGAAAGACGGTAGCGTCGAGAATCATGGCGCCTCTCGCAACGCAGGTGAGATCGAGTTGCATTTTAACGACGTCTCTTCATTCTGGAAGCTCCATAACGATCTACCGCTGCTTGCAGAGCCGTCGAGGGGAAACACGGATTCGTCCAGTGGCTTCCCAGAACGAAAACGCTGTACTCGCTGCAGGGAAGGGTAGTATTGTCAGAACGTTCGTATTGATCCATTTTCTATGTTATACGATACTAAACCGCGTGACTGAAATCCAGCCACGAAGACGAACGTTGTACGGAGTAAGAACGAAAGTTCTCGTCCTTCGCTTCGTCATGTCACGAATACCACCAAGGCCTTGGTCTCCGAGCGGTAAGACAAAGAAATGCGTCAACAGCAAAGTTCGTCGAGAGACATCACTGACTCTGCGTTTCATGTTTCAGTGACAAAGCTCCTGTAAAAGTAGGGGATGTTCCAAAAGCTGCATTAAAGAAGCCGGCTCCTCAGGTGTGCTCGAAACGTGATTAAAGAGGCATGAGGAATGCCATTTCTGATCGTTACTGATACTAGTGACAAATGTACAGGCTCGGCCAACAAAACCACCTACTCCGGCATGGCGCCCGGCTGGAACTTCTAAAGGTCTCTTCGAGAACACACGTCCTCCTACCACACGGAGCAATGTACCGCGACGCAGCAGCAGTTCTGCTCCTGTTACCGCTCGTTCCAGCAACGCGACTGTCAGTCGAAGGTCTTCAACGACTGCCATCAGTGATCATCCTGAAGTCGCTCCAGCAGCGATTACTGATGATGGAGTTGTCGCCGATCACCTTACTGCACCTGTTAATGAAGACATTGGACTAGCTGATAATCTCACTGCTGCTGTTCATGACAAAGACCGCACTGATCACGTCGCTGCAGCTATCCATGAAGTGAAGGCCGCTGATCATCTCGCAGCTGCTGTTCATGATAAAGGTGTCGCTGATGACGTTTCTGCGGCTATCCATGAGGAGAATGTCGCGGATCATTCGACTGCTGCTGTTCACGACAAAGAAGTCCTGGATCACGTTACTGCACCGGTTCATGAGGACAATGTCGCTGATCATCTTATTACTACTGAATCTAGCAGCGTGAAGGCAACTGATTTGGACAGTCAGACGGTGACACAACTCCCATTCAATCATGAGAAAGCAACAAACGAAGTGACGCAATATGTTTTTCAGCGAAGGGAGAGTGCTGGTCATGGTGCGGGGAGCAACGCTGGTCCAGGGAGGCACATCTTGACCATGACGAAGCAGCTCATTGAGAATACTCTGGAAGTCAAAGTGGAGTCTTGTTGGGATGTCGATGCTCAAGACTGTGAGAATCCGCTTGCTGAGACAACTTACGCCACTGACATATACAACCATTACAAGATGACGGAGGTCAGTTTCTGATATCTTTCTTTGGATGCTCAACTCGAAGGTTAACTTCTTGGAGCTTCTATTTTACAGAAGGAGGGAATGGTATGCCCCACTTACATGTCTGCTCAATCTGAAGTCGACAGTCGCATGCGAGGCCTTGTGCTAGATTGGGTGGTTCAGGTAAGCCATTGTCGTCCCCTACGCTTCCGTTACCTTCGAGCTTACCTTTCTGACTCCTTAAAATCGCTTTACAGGTCCATGGATCTTATAATCTGATGCCAGAAACTCTTTTTTTGGCTGTCAACATCTTCGACCGATATCTCGCTGCCACTCATGTACCTAAGAAACACATTCAGCTTCTTGGAGCAACATGCATCTTGGTTGCTGCGAAATACGAGGAGATTTATGCTCCTCTTGTTGCTGAAATCGAAGATATTGGATCTGGCGCCTACACGCGAGGACAGATACGGATGATGGAGAAGAAGATATTGAACAAGATATCATTCAAGCTGAGCATCCCAACATGCTACATGTTCGCTGTTCGTTACCTAAAGTTCGCCAAGGCTGCAGCTGACGCCGCCACAGCTTCAAATGCAGTTTCGAATGTGTGGAGCATTGAAGTGTCAAAGGGAACCAGCAGTCGGGTGCATGCCTTTGCATGGTACCTTCTGGAGCTGACGATTCCAGAAATCATCATGGTTCAGTTCAGTCCGTCCCATCTTGCTGCAGCAGCAGTATACACTGCTCTGCTTGGAGCTTATCAAAGGGGCAAGGTGGCCAAGTCAGCTGAATCGGAGAGCAACCAAATCATCGGGCACAGGAGGCCAACCAATGAAGGTGAAATTTGGGGATCACGCATGGCTGACTTGACTGGTTTTGAAGCTCAGGACCTTTGGCACTGTGTGGGGCTGTTGCTAGACATATACAAGAAAGCTTTGGCGAGTCGCAGTGGTGCAGTGTATGAGAAGTACAAGGGGAAGAAGCTCCTGGAAGCCGCCACTTATCCAGCACCACTATCAGAGGAAATTGATGCGTAACCCACAGACTAAGGTTCGGAAGGCTGGGAGAAGAAGTGAAGGAAGGTGATTGTACGGAATAAGGGGCACTGGAATCAGGCTGTTGCTCACTCACGATGTCGTCATTATGTATGCCTTACTCATGTGATTCTTCTTGCTTGTCATTGTCACACTTCATGCTCAAACGCAAGTTACTATTGCTAAGACCGCTGTACACATCCTAAGAAAGCAAGTCCTTACTTTGTCTAGGCCGAGAGAGCCCCTCCTATAACAAGCTAGTTGCGAAAACAAGCTAGGCGAGAAAAAAACTCCTAAAAAGGGCAGAGGGAGCCCTCATCACGATCAGGAAAGCAAAAACAGGGCGAGATGACCCTGCGCAATGAGCTCTAAGCAACCAGATACTAGCTCGGTGCGGCTCTTCCGACGGTACATCCATCCTCCTCCTTTCACTTCCTGCCAGCCGCTGGAACGGACGAGTTGGCCGTCGACAAGCAGGATGTCGACTTCGTCAGCTTATGTGCAACGGCGGCACGGGGGGGATTCTCGGGCAGGTGAGGAACAGCAGGGATCTCCGCCACCTCCTCGAACTGCTTCCGCGAGTACTTCTTGTGCACCGCCGCGAGGTTTCCCGTGCCTGCCTTCCCGTGCAGAGCCACAAGCTGCTCCACGCACGGCCACAGCGTCGCCTCGTCGTATCCGGTAAGCCACGCCATGCCGGGGCCCCAGACCTCACAGGCGCCTGCCGAGCCTGCTCCCGTGGCTGTCTTGTTAGCATGGTGGGCCGTCAGCAGCGCGGCGTAGACCGAAGCAGCAGCCACGTACGACGGGGAGAATTTGATCATGGAGTGTTCAGGCAGGGTCAGCTCGAGAAGGAACCACGCGAGCGCGTGAACGCGCGTGTCCGCTCCAACGGTCACCGCCTTGTCAGCACCAGCACCGGCGGCAGCAGCGGCGTTAGCGGCGGCAGTCGCGGCCTTGAGGAATCGCGCGGCGAAGACGTACGAGGTGGGGATTGTCAGCTTGAACTGCAGCGTGTTGAGCATATCCTTCTCCATCTTCAACACGTCCTGGCGCGTGTACGCGCTATCGCAGATATACACGAAATCGCCGACCTCTGGAGCCCAGATCTCCTCGTACTTAGAGGCGATCAGCATCGCCGTGATCCCCACCAGCTGAAGATTACGACGGGGAACGGGCGTCACCGCCAGGTACCTATCGATGACGCTTATAGCGAGGAAAAGCGTCTCCGGCATCAGCTTGAACTTGAGGTGGACCTCAATCAGCCAGTCGACGAGAATCGCGCGCATCGTGCCGTTGATGTCGCTCTGACGGGTCATGTAATCCGGAGCCACCATGCCTTCCGGTTCCGTCCGCCTGTAGAAGTTGTAGATATCCGCGACATAAGTCGTCTCGGCAAGAGGGTTGCTCTTGTCGGCAGCGTCGATGTCCCACCACGCTTCCCTCTTGACGGACGCGGCGGCGGCGGCGGCGGCGTTGATGGCGGTGATTGTGGAGAGAACGCTCGCCTCCTCGCTGACAGCCGTCAGCTCGGCGGTCATGGTGTGCACGTGGCGCGGCTCTTCGATGTCCACGTCACTCGGGATCACTTCTTCCACGTCAGGTGAGACGGTGATGACGCTGACGGCGCTGGTGGTCTGAGCGGACTTGGCGGCGGGTTGCGACTTGGGCTGCAATCAAGAAGAACGAGACCGAGGAGCGTCAGATAACGAAGTGAAGAACGGCGACGGAAACAGACGAAGAACGGCGA